CAAGAAGTCCATAAGACTGGCTCTTTCACCTTCTTCAGGTATGGGCTCAATGACTCTTCTCATTCAAAGCTTCCCTTGGGGCCAACAGGTGGCATGGTGGTTAAAGCCCTAGACTCCTGCAGTTCATAACACAGACCTAGTGGCTTGAAGATCACTCTGGGTGCATATACATGTGTGCATTGCCCAAAATCATGAGAGGAGAATGAAAGAGAAGGAACTGTGGCATGGCCAATCCCCCTAGGGGGTGATTTTATCTCACTTTTCCCCTCATAGTCTCTCTCTCTCTCCCCAGCAACCGGCAAGCACACACACCCTATGGCAAAAAGCTTCAAAAAAAAAAAAAAAAAAAGAGAGAGAGAAAGGAAAAAAAATAAAAAAGAAGTAAAATATTTAAAAAACATAAAACAGGGGACCAGCAGTTAGCATAATGGCTAAGTCACTGAACTCCCATGTAGTCGACCGCGGTTCACGTCCCGGACCCGGTGGCTTAAACTCATGCTGGGCACGTGTGCATGCGTGCCCAAGATCCTGAGAGGAGAATGGAGGAGAAGGCATTGCGGCGTGGCCACCCCCCTGAGGGGTGATTTGTTGCTTTCTGTCTCTCTGTTTTTCTGGCGAGCGCAGGCGACCTATAGCAAAAACTTCTCAAAAAAAAATTAAAAAATAAATAAATAAAATGGAAAATTATCTGTTTACAATAATACGTATGGTGATATCCTTTATTAAGCCAATATACAGTGTATTCTGGATGGGAAAATTCATTTTGTATGCTGTAATGATATATAGTAAATGAATGTTTAATAAATATTCCCTAGCCACCCTATTGAAATTGCAGAGATTTTTATATACGCACATACATATGCATGCACACACACACATGCATACCTTTGTATTTTTATCTTCTATGAAACAAGAAAAAATAAGTCCTACAAAGCCTTGATCCATCATCTGATACATGGCTTGTGTCCGAACATCTGAAAATAAAAATAAAAATTTGTTAGGGGCTTATAGATTTAAGGATAATAATAAAGCTGGTGCAGCTGGTGCAGTAGTAAAATGCGACTCTCTGTGAGGCAGACCTATGTGGTAAAGTTGCTGATTCACATCCAGAGACCTCCATATGATCCAGGGCTGGCTGGAGCTGGGGTGGACCACAGCACCTGGACCCAGTCAGGGTGCTGTCTGTCTGTCTATCTCTCTCTCTCTCACACACACACACACACACACACACATACACACACTCTCATACT